CATCTCCACAGCCCACATAGGTTGGTTCTATTCTTATACCTGTCTGAAAGATGAAGTTGAAGTTCAGAGAGGTTAAGTAACTTCTCTGATATCCTATAAATAGCAAGTGGCAAGGCTAGAATTATAATCCATGTCTGTTTTTAACAGGAGCTCCCCTGCCTGCATGGTGTCTGGCCTTCCCCATCTGCAACTGAGGCTTTCCCAAGTGCCTGCTCTGCCCAGTAGGCACATGGTATTCTCTTTTGTCCTGCACTGTCTGGACAGTGGGGTTAGTTCTGCTGCACCTGACTGGACCATGGGACATATATGGTGCAGATGACCACAGTCACACGAGTCTACACACACAGCTCCAGCCTTCTTGGGTGTTCCCTCCATGAACACTTTATGGCACCTAGTAGGACTCAATAAATATTTAAATGGATGAATGGATGACTGAGTGGTGGTAGCATGGAAGTTCCTTTCTTCACTTCTTGCTTTTCAAGGGTTCTACATTTTGTCATTCTTCTGTCATGCTGACCTTAATTCTGTACCATAGGTAAAATCGCCCAATACTAATGTTCAGTATCTTCCTGGGTCTAAAATGAAACCCATCTTTAGTTTGGATTCTTTTCTACAAATAACCAAGTTACTCAGCTCACTTCATAGAGAATCTTTTTATATCCTGCAGTGTGGGTACATGGGGAGAGATGATTACACTCCATTGTAGAACATGCCCAAGGTCACCTGTTGATAGCAAATGTGGTATAATAGGAAGCTTGAGCATTCGCCACGAGTATTTGTCAATAGTGAGACATGAATCGTACAAGAGTCACTTGAAATAAGTTATCTTCCATTATGTCGAGGTCTGGCTAAAGGGCAAGAGAAGCATCTTCTGAATTCTACTGTGTGTGTGTGCTCAGTTTCATGTGTATGTGGGTGCCTTCTCAAGTGTGGCTGTGTATCTGCACATTGGTATATGTATGTGTGTTGTATATATGTAATATGTGGGTGATTGTGTAAGTGAGTAGGTGTATATTTATGTTTGCATGTATGGTATGTGTGTGTGGGCACATCTTTGTGCTTGTATGTATGTGGGTATACGTGTGTGTGTTTGCACATGGGTTTATGTGTTTGTCACGGGGTGTATGTACGTGTATGTGTGGGAAGGGAGAACCAGACTGAGATGCAAAGGTAAGCAAGGTTAGGCTCCTTCTTTGGGAGTTTGGGTAGGTTGTGGTGAACTTGGGTTTGCAAGAACACAGGCATATGATGAGTTTACCATGGCTAGAACTCACTATCCAGTGGAAATGATCTTGGATGAATTCATGTGTGGTCATATTGGAAATAAAGCTGTAATTTAGATGCTGTGGCCAGATGCATATAACATATGGATCATAGTTATGTAATATGGGGATTTAAGATATAGTAGTCTCATGAAAAAAGACCTGACTCAGGAGGTTCAAATCATTTTTGGGGGGCCATTTAGTAGCTGTGTGATTTTGGGCCAGTCTATTTTCTTATCCATATGATAGGGTTAAAATTACCAATCCTAGGGGCGCCTGGGTGGCTCAGTAGGTTGAGTGGCCGACTTAGGCTCAGGTCGTGATCTCACAGCTTGTGAGCTCGAGCCCTGTGTCAGGCTCTGTGCTGACATCTCGGAGGTTCCTCCCTCTCTCTCTGCCCCAACCCACTCACATTCTGTCTCTGTCTCTGTCAAAAATAAATAAACATTAAAAAAGTTTTTTTAAAAAAAATTACCAATCCTAGCCTCTTCCATAGGCCTAGGGCACAAAATTTAAGGGTTGGTTTGACACTCAAAGTAAAGAAGCATGTGTGAAAAGCTCTAACAGCTGCAAATCTCTCTACAAAGATAAATTGTTCTCTGTCTGGCCTTGGGCTCATTAGTGTTTTTAAGAGATAATAATTGTTAGCCAGGGCAACGAGACCACAGTTCTGCATGAAGTGGCCTGGGTGGGCTCCTCTAGGCCACCAAACAGCAGAGGGAGATGAGCAGATTAGTAGTTGTTGGGAGGAGTGTCTTGGGGGGGCGGGGCTCACAAAAGACAGACTGTTGTTCGTAAAGAGTTTTTGAGTTTGACAGGATAGATACCCACTTCTGATGTTTTTGAGAACAGGCAGTGAAACAGATCAGTCTACAATCCTATTCAATCTCAGAATGACGTGAGTCAAGGAGTCCAAGGTAGTCAGCCTGAAAATTCCGATGAGATAACTCTATAAGCAGAGTTTTGATGAAGGGAGATTCGAGGTCAGGTGAAATGGTAGGTTTAGGGACTGGGGATGAGGCCAAGCTACATCTCCCTTTTCCACTAGGGTAGGAGGTTCTCCTGGCTATGTGGTGGGCTCTGCTCAAGGAAAATATATATGTGTGATGGGGGGGGGCAAGAGAAGATGAAGCTTCTTCACAGGCTGGTTACGTGAACACTGACAGGAGAATCCCATTTAAAAGCCACATTTAATGCACGAGAATGACCAATCACGACCCTCTTTCAGGGAGCTTTCTAGAAAGCACCACAGCACCAGTCATTGAGAAAAGTAGAAGACATTCTCTAGGAGAGATCAGGCAACCCACCCAAGATAACTGCTCCTCTATTCTTTTATGATTGGTGGTCTTAAGGGGATGGTCTGATGAAATTCTTTCCTTTCGATTTATTCTAACTCAGATGGAAGTGCCTGTCAGCAGGGCCAGGTGTCTAGGCCACAAAATGTGAGGAGCCACCCACTCTTAGTGCCTCCCTCAATTTTGCATTCCAGGAGGCTCGCTTGCCTCGCCAGAGTCCAGGCATTGCCCGGAAGACACGTTAAGACCCTCCCACTGGAAGGGAGGCCAGGAGTGCTGCCACCACTCAGCTCCCTCTCCCCCAGATCCCCTTGAAACCTGTCATTTTGGCTAGGGATCTTTCTGGGATATTGCCACCTGGGCAAGACTTCATGGTGGAAGCTTCAGCAGGTGCAGGTGCATGGAAATATTTTCAAGAACAAACACTCAGAGAAGGGAGAAACGACATGGTTTTGATAGGGTTTGAATCCAAAGTCCAATCTTGCCAGATTACATCAGTGGCTCCTGCCTTTTTGTGAGGAATTATCTCACATTCAACTGAATTTTTGACTTCCTGAGTGAAGGTAGTATTGGTGGAGTGGGATAATTGGAGGATGAGGACTGGGCAATAAAGTTACTGAACAGAAGAGGGGGTGAGACACTGGAGGGCCCCAGGGACCATGGCAGAGGGGTGGGGACAGTGGAGAGAGTGGCAGCATCTGGATTGGAAATCTACCAGGTAAGACTCGAGAGTCTGTCTGGGAGGTTGGAATCTCCCTGCTGGACACAGTGGGTACTGGTGACCCATTCTTCATGGATTCATGCCATTCTCTCCTTCCTTATTGGGTTAGCATCTTGAAGATGAACCATCAAATGCCTTCTCCTCTCCCTTGTCTCTACTCCCTCTCTCATTGTCTGGGAAGCTCCTGTGCCCCTCCTCCTCTCTCTATTGAACTTTCTCTTCCGTACATTATACTGTTGGATTTTCTACTGCCTATGCATGTCTGAATATACTTTCGGATCCTGGAAAAATTCAGTCACTGAATCAAACAGATTAAAATAGTCCACCTATGGAATAAAGTGTCCCTGTATTACTTTGCTACTGTGCAGTTACAGAAGTCAGTCATTTCCACACATACCATCTTAGGTTGACATGACAGCTCTGTTTGGAAATATTATTGTCCCCACTTGATGGATCAGGAAACTGAGGCTCAGAGGAATTGGCTTTCCCAAGGGCAGCCAACTAGTAAGTGCTCAGCTTGGGACCAGAACTCAGCTCTTTGGATTCCTACTCCAGAACTTTTTCTACTGACCCTACTGCCTCTCCAGTCAACCCCAGGATGGATCTTGCAGAGCCATAAGAATGTTTTCAATCAGATTAACCCAGACTTTTTCTCCCATCCTGACCATCTTTTGACTACCTTTTCTGTAACTAGTTCCTCCTACTCCGTCACATCCGCGTCCCCACACCCAATCAAACCCTCACCTGGATGGTTCAGATGGGACACTATTAAGTAGATGGTGAAGTCCAGGAAAGAACAGTTGCACCTCCATGGGTTTCCGCTCAGATACAGGGTCTGTAGTGTTATGAGGCTATGAAAGGCAGCATGGTCCAAGGTCTGCAAGCCGGTATTTCTGAGGTCCAGGTACCTCAGAGAGCTGGTGTTGGCAAAGGTGTACTTGTTGAGAGATAACAGGTGAGGGTTGTTGGAAATGTTCAGCTGCACCAGGTTGCTGAGCACGGAGAAACTGTATGGGGAGATCAAGGTTAGGTTGTTGGAGCTGAGATCAAGGTAGATGAGTTTGAAGACCCCGATGAAGGTATAATCCATCACCTCGCGAATCAGGTTATTCCGACAGTCCAAGTAAACAAGGTCACTGAGGAGTCCCAGAGTCATCGCTGGCAAAAAAGTGATGCCGTTATCATTCAGGTACAGCCTCCGGGTGTTCAGGGGTATGTCTGGGGGGTATTCGGTTAACCGGATCCCTGTGCAGATCACTTCTTGGGCTTGACACTGACAGTTATTTGGACACTTTGACCCCGATACCAGTCCCATTCCAAAGGAAAAGAGTAACCACCCGGGCCCAGGGCCTGAAGCAAGGGACATAGTAAGAAACCGCAACTACCCTCCTTCCACCTTCCTGCGGGCGCTGTCCCTCTGATCAGAAGGCTGCCGAGGGGCGGGGTGGTGGGGGGGAGGGGCGCTGGAAAGAACTGTAACACTCTAGCTTTGTGCAAAGCAATTTTCCATTACAGGAGAACAGAACAGAAGTTGAAATGCGAGGCCCAATGCCCCGCCGCCCGGCTGGGTGGCTCTGCCGCTTGCTCACTCCCAGGCTGCTGCTGGAAGCTTGCCCGCTTGGCGGCTTTGAAAGGTCTCAGCCTTTCCCTGCGTTTGCAAGTGAAGGGGAGCCAGGGGAGAGCCACATGACAATGAGGTTGCCAGTTGACACCTTTGTGATGTCAGCAGCCTCAGGAGACTGCCTGGCTGAGGGAGGGAGAGTCCTGCCTCTCCTTCTGGGTGGTGTGGGGGTGTTGTGTGTGTCTCGGTAAGCTGGCTTTCCCCGGGGGAATCAGGGCCCTGCAGCATGGGGGTGGGGGGCCGGTTCACGGTGTGTGTGTGTGTGTGTGTGTGTGTGTGTGTGTGTGTGTACCAGTTCCCAGGGAGGTGTAGTAGAGGATTAGATTAGGGATCCAACCTAAGAGGGACCTTGGCGGTGTTCAGCCCAGCTCCCTTCTATACTGAGGAGCAAAGTGACTTGTTTAAGGTCAGTTCTCAGAGTGGGTCTTTTCCTTGGGGAACGGATTCGGACAGGCGCCAGTTCTTGGTGGGAGAGGAAAGGGGAGCCTCCTTCGAATGAGGGAAGGGAATTCCTCTGATGAGGTGGTGCTCTTAAGATTGCATTCCTAGTGTGCGTACAACCCTTTCTGCATTTGGAATATATGTGCGCTAGTATTTTCAAAAACCTTTAGAGCAAGTATAAGCTACTCCCCTTAACACAAAACTCAAATGTATGAGAAAATATCTGAGTGTGAGGATATGAACTATTTCTTACCCTTACTATTCTCCTGGGACTTTTAAAGTAGCGAGTGCCTCTCTAGAGTTTCTCGTGAGAGTTTATAGTCATTAACTGTTTGAGGGATGATGGGAAAGAGGGTCTTTTGGAGGGAGGGATAGAGGATCTGGAAGCTGAAGAGTTAGGACGCATTATCTACTCCATGGAGGAAGGCATATTGGGCAGAAATGAAGAAAAAGCACCTCAGGAATGAAAATTTATGTTTTGGGGGAAAATAGGATTTCATAGGTAACCTAGCTGTGAATATTCATAAAATAATGCCACTTATATTTAGCTTAGCATAGTGCCTGGCACCTGGTGTGTAATAAATATTTATTGAATGAATGATGCGTGAATGTCTCTGATGGTTTGGTCCCTTTTCGTGTTTCTCTGCCAAGAGAGAAATTAATAAACTCAAGTGGATTTGTGGCTGGTTAGCTAATGCTTGATTATGTTTACTTACTCAGCATTCCTAGGGTGACTGGCCGTGAATTAAGATGATGACTTAGGAGTGTTTACCAAATTGAAAGTGACCTTATTTAAGTAGAAATTTCAAACACTTAAAATAATGACCCAAAGGATGGTTGAACTAATTGAAGCAGGATTTTATTGATGGGGGAGCCACCCTTTCCTTATAATTAAAAAAAAAAAAAAAGTTCCTTGCTAGACCTTACATGAAAGCCTGGGAGAGGAATTTCGCCTGTGAAGGCTATATATGGGGAAGAATTAATTTCTGGGGCGATGGCTTCCCCTGGGGGCCAAGACAAGTTGAGGGTGTGGTTTGGAGGGGGTGTGGTAGGAATGCCACATTCCTTCCCAGTGGGCTGGGTTTGCTTTTTTTTTTTTTTAAGCTTATTCATTTATTTTTAGAGAGAGAGAGAGAGAGGGAGAGAGAGGGCATGAGTGGGGGAGGGGCAGAGAGAGAGGGAGACACAGAATCCCAAGCAGGCTCCACAGGGTCAGCACAGAGCCCAAAGCAGGGCTCGAACTCATGAACCATGAGATCATGACCTGAGCTGAAATCCAGAGTTGGCTGCTTAACTGACTGAGCCACCCAGGTGCCCCCATCCATTTCCTTTTGGGGAGAGATGATGGCTGACTGGTTTGCCAAAGCTTGTGGAGTGATTTTTCTGCCTCTCTCCTTCTTTCTGACTCTTCCTTTCAGGGGAGCTAGCGTGTCCAGGTTTACGCATTTAATTTCTAGCCGCCGCATGTGGATGCACTTTCTCAAGGCAGCAGCCTCTGGCTCAGGCTTTGTTGTTTGGCCATATGATTGCAAGTGCTCTCACTTGGAAAAGACTCGGACAAACAAAGTGCATTAAAAGTTATCAGGGACGCCAGTCAGTTATGTCTCTCTCTCTCTCTCCAGAGCATTGCCATTTTAGCAAAGCCTCATGAATGGTTAAATCGAGAAATAGTCCTTGGCCTGGGGTAGCTGTGTGCTTTGTGGTCCTGAAGTCTGCACGCCCATAGGCTGGTTCCAGCTCTGCCAGGTTAGACCAGATCCCTCAAACGTGGTCCTCGTTTTGAGACTAAATATTTGTTAGATAGAGAATGAGGCCTTTCCCAACTACTTGATCTCAGAACCTTTAAGACAATTTCTCTTCAAGGAACATCTACGAGACTCTTATTTCAGGGATCCTGCTCTGGGAAGTTCTGGACTAGGCTGTTTGCCCTTGGCAGAGTTGCTTAATGTCTCTGTGCTTTATTTTTCTCATCTGTATATTGAGGGCGGTGAACGAGAGAATTTCCAACCCTCCTTAGGACTGCTGAATTCCTACATCATGGGAAGATTTCAGGCCCCACAGGGAGCCACTAGGGGAGGGCCAAGAGAAAGCCTTCCTGTTCCTTCTGATGACCCCCTGTGGCCCCACGTGGTCAGATGGCTGCAGAAATAGAGTCTGCTTGCCCCAGCTTCAGAAGCAGCTGGGTTGCCCTTAGTGTATACAGCTGTTTGCTGAGCCCACCTCTGCCCCTGAGGTGGCCGGGGTGGCTGTCCTTCCAGTAGCACTGGTGGGTATCAGGTGAACTCGGTGAGGAGCATCTGGTCTCAGTGCACACTCACTAGCTGAAACTGCTCTCGGGCCGGCTCCTATTTTTAGCTGTATCTGACAGAGACAGCTTCCCACTTACCGATCCCTCTCGAGTGCCAGTGTGCCTCCCAACAGACTCTCATGATCCAAAAGACAGGTGGGCACAGTCCTTGATGTTATAAAAAGGCAAGGGGGGGGGAGGGTAGAGCAAAGTGGATACAGCCAGGACCCTTGATTTCCATCCCCTCCCAGGGCCTTGGTTTCCTTTCTATAGAACAAGGCAGGATGCTCTCTGAGCACCCGCCCAAGTGTAAGGTTCCATCAAGAGCCAGTCTGTGCAGGGCAAGGACAGATGCTTGAAGCCTTAAGACCCGAGCACCAGGACAGATTCCAGTGACTGCATGGTGCCCGGCACAGGGCAAACAGTTTGTAAATGTTAGCCAGTGCCTGTTCCATCCGACGCCTGGGAGCAAGGGCCGGGGGCAATATAATTTCGGCATACTTGTATTTTCTCAGGAGAAAAATAGAAAGAAATGCCGGTGCCATTTTATTCAGTTAAGACTGCTCATGTGTTCAACTCAGGACTCTCCACAGGGTTAGCAACCTAGCGGCGTAGAAGTCAGTTCTCTGTTCTGCTTCCTGGGCCAGGAATTCAGTGGGTGCAGGTCTAACGAATGCAGAATGCTAAGGACTTTGATGTCAAAGCTGCTTATGGCATCCAGGTCACTCCAGACTTATGACAGTGCTTGTGTCCTATTCAGCAGGGCCGTCGAGGCAGGTATGGGGCTGGGGGCAAGTCCCACGGAAAACAGATTGATGATGAACAGGAAAGACAGCCTGGAAGAGAAAAGAAGTTGTAATATATGCCAGGAAGGTGGGGCCTAAGGGCCAAATATGTCTGTCTGTCTGTCTACCTATAGATAGATTTATCTCTACCTATCTATCCATCCATCTATCATATCTATCATCTATATCTTTATCTGTCATCTATTGATGTATCATCTCTATATCCATCCATCCATCCATGTACCCATCCATCCATCCATCCACCTATCATCTATATCTATCTATCTATCTATCTATCTATCTATCTATCTATCTATCATTTATCTATTAGCTAGCTAGCTAGCTAGCTGTGAGCCTTGGGTCTGTTTTTAGTACCACCTGGTGTGAACTATTTTTGTCTTTCTCCTTCAGGTTGCCTGAGTCCCTGCTCAGGAGATTGGACCTTTACAAGAGTGTAGGCCAGAGGAAATCACTCCAATTGCTGTGTTCCCCAGGGATATCTTTGTTTTCAGCCTCCCCCTACATTATACATTTCTGTAGTATTTATTATCTAGAGGAATCTAAGGGAAGCCCTTGAAATTGCATACCGTTTTGGGGGGATTGGATCACCTTCTCAGCTTATAACAGACTTATATACTAACGCCCAAGGCTAGACTTATAGGTGTAGTAGTCATTATGCCTGAAACCCACACTGTGACTTTGTCTGAGCCCATTGATTTGGGAGGAGACCATGGGAGAGACACCTGTGTTGTGGTATGAGCTTCGGAAGGAGAAACTCCTTGCCAAGTGACTTCAGGCAAACACTTCAGCTTCTATGGACGTGTTTCTTTTTGATAAAATAGGGATGCCAAATAATGCTTCTCCAGGATTGCTATAAAGATTGAGTATCATTTAATATAACCTACCAACTACCCTTTACTATTCACCCTGTCAGGTATGTGATTCTCACAGCAATGCAGCGAGTCATGTGGCATGACCCTATCTTATAAATGAAGAAAAAGAAGCTCTAAGAGGGGCCATTTGTCCAAGGCTACAGAGCTGATGAGTGATGAAGGCAGGATTGGGTCCAAAAAGTTTTATTCCTGAGTGCAAGCTCTTAGTTACTAAGCCAGACCACCACCACTTATGCAAATGCCTCAAAATGCTCATTATTGTTTTTATAGGCTCCATGGAATAAATGTACTATAAAAGTGCCCCTCCGAGGCACTAAATGGTACATTAACTCCAGACCAGCTCAAACCACTATTGTTATGTGATCTATTTACACTTTGGGGTTCCTTGTCTTTCAGAAGGCTTACAACCTTTTCAGCTTTAAAGACTTACATTAACCTTTGAGATTGTTTTGTATAATTGTCTTCCTTTTGCAGGCAAGGAAGCTGAATAGAAAAACAACTTTCCTAAGCTCAAAGAATGAATGGCAAAGCCAGCAACCGTTGACTCGTCGATGCCTGAGGTGACCCATATTTCTGTAATGAGGAATTCCTTCCAAGGCCATCTGGAACATGCTGTATCCATTGGGCAGACCACTGGGCATTTCATACTTTATCAAAGCCCCAGAAGGGGCAGAGCCACTATCATGGAAATCTCTCCATAATCCAGCATGGCTACCCACCTCCTTCCTGCCCTTCAGAACAACCTTTGACACTGAAATTCGAAAGCAGTGGAAGCCTTTGGTGGTCTCTCGGGGGGAATCTGTACTTCACAGAGGCTCTGGGCGGTTAGGAGGAGGACTGAGGGAAATGGAGTCCTGTCTCTCCTTCAGCATTCCTCGCACACAGATTTTCAAGAAAATATGTCATGTGGGAGGTAGAGACAAATGCCATGGGCAAGGTGAAGGGTGTCCCCACAGGGTGTCACATAGAGGGGCCAAGTTGGCGTTTGGCATAGAAATTGAAAAGGAGAGCATGAATCCTGAGGGAGGCAGGTAAGAAGGTCTCAGAGTTTTCCCAGCATCTTTGAAAGGCTGTTTTTTGTTTTTTGTTAATGTTTTATTTATTTTTGAGAGAGCACACACCGGGGAAGGGCAGAGAGAGAGGGGGACAGAGGATCTGAAGTGGGCTCTGTGCTGACAGCGGTGAACCCAATGCGGGGCTTGAACTTATGAACTGTGAGGTCATGACCTGAGCTGAAGTCCGACGCTCAACTGACTGAGCCACCCAGGTGCTTGGGCTCTTGGGTTTTTGGAAGGGCTGCTGTCAGAGGTCAATGGAGTCATGTGGGTGTGTCATTGTCATACTCCCAGAAGGACAATGGGGGGAGGACCACGGAGCTCCTGGGAAGAAAGCTTACTCTACCGTGGGTCTTACAAGGAGCGTCTGTATTTCTGATCAGAGCCCATGAACTCACTCTCCCAGGAGGGTCTTCCCAGCTCTTTACTTCCTGGACAGACTGAAGAAGACACTCTTAAGGCCTGGCCAGAGTCCTAGTGGTGCCAAGCAAGGGGAAGGCAGGTAGCTGAGTGACTGGTTAACGTTGTGATAAATGCTTTCGCTTCTGTCTCCAGGCTGACTCTCAACCTGAGCCCTTCTCCACAAGACCCCAAGTGTCCAAGTATCAGAGGCAGGCTCACTAACCTGTCGTGGGGCTCAAATAGCCCCTGCTTCATGGATCATGCTGTCTACCTTCCTGGAGAGCTTGCTTCGGATAAATGTCTCTCCACTTCCCAAACTAGGAAGGATGGAAAGGTTAGAAAAACCTCAGGGAAAATCCTGGTGCACGCGGCTTGCTGTGTCATTTGGCCACTCGCCTTCACCCCTATCTCAGAGAGAACCCAGCTTACAGCCGCCATGCTTCTGTGTAAAAACGGGCTGCGCTGGGTTCTCTCCGAGATAGATTCTTTTGCTGTTGCCCTAGTAACAGAATTATTAAAGCTCCAGCCTTGGGAGTATTTGTGCCTGGTGAGGTAATGTCTGTCGCATGCAGCCTTTTCATTCCCACCCCCACCCCTCGCCTCAGGCCCTTTGTACCTCACACCTAGGCTCATGGACTGCCTTCCTCCTTGGCCTCCATGCCGCCTGCCCACCCTCCCCACCAGGGTGGCTCCCAGCTGAGCAATACCCTTTCTCAGACTCAGAGACACTGTGTTGGTCGTATTCCCCATCAGCCTGGCATTCTGAGGCTGATGGGGAATTCAGTGGTCCATACCACTTTCCGAAAACCCACAGAGCCCTCTGGGCTTGAGTAGAGCGGGATGTGGTTGCAGTACAGTGACAGGAAGCCACAGGGAGAATGCACCAGGCTAAGGTAGTGACTGGTTCGTTGGGAGGCAACACAGTGTAATAGTTCAGCGTTTGGGCTTTGGAATAAACGGTCTATAAAATGTGATCTCTCTCACAAAATAGCTGTGTGATCTTGGGCAAGTTTCTTTCTTTCTTTTTTTTTTTTTTAAATTTTTTTTGAATGTTTATTTTTGAAGGAGAGAGAGAGACAGAGTGTGAGCAGGGGAGGAGCAGAGAGAGAGGGAGACACAGAATCCAAGGTGGTTTCCAGGCTCTGAGCTGTTAGCACAGAGCCCAACCCAGGGCTCAAACTCATAAACCGTCAGATCATGAGCCGAAGTCAGTCACTTAACCGATTGAGCCACCCAGGCACTCTAATCTTGGGCAAGTTTCTTAACTCAAGTCTCAGTTTCCCCAGATGCAAAGCAGAGATAATGATAGTACCTTCCTTGTGAGGGTTTTGCTGCCCAATTAAAGATCTTGTAAAATGCTTGGCTTAGTATCTTTGAACGTAGAATCACACCGGAAGTGCTGGCTGTGATGGTCAAGATGGTGGAGAAAGGGGGAAGGGCGGCCGTGTGACAAGTGGAAGAGAGAGCGGTGCCCCGTTTTGGCCAGTGGGTAGGAGTCATGCAGGTAGAGAGACCAGGTGCAGAAGGAACCCGTTTGTAAGAACAGATCACATTTTTGCTTTGGGTCTTCTTGAATGGAAAGTGTCACCGTTCACTTTTCCTGATTGGCACTGAATGCCAGGCACTCTGCTAAGCACATTCCATGCATCATTTCTTCTAGAATTCCCCCTCCCCACTGCAGCCCCCTGAGATAAGGCTTAGTAACACAGGGCAAGGTTAAGTAGCTTGACGCGTTGTTGAGCAGAAGATCTGGGATTTGAACCCAGGTCTGTGTGCCTCCAGCAGTGCACTCTATAAGCTGCCTTGACTGGATATCTTGACTGGAGTTAGGAAGTCGGTCCATGTGCGTGTGTGCACCCATGTGCACACACTTTTAAAGCTAACATGGTCTTAGGGGGCGCATAATGGTTTGCAATGCTTCCTGCCTAGGCAGCGGTCTGCCTCTTCATCTGGGGTCGCTGTGTGTAAATTTGGCCCCTAGACTTGGGGACTTCTTTTACAACAGGTGCTCTCCTGCGCTTGTGCTCAGAGTCGGTGACTCAGTGCTCAACTCTCACCCAGTCTTCCTGCCTCATTCTCAATCCCCCCACATGGCATCCTGGTCTTGAGAAGTGCATTAGCATCTCTGAACCTCAGTTTCCTCCTCCGAACAACTTAAGCAGTTAGAGAATTGCAGGAAGCATCAAAAGAGACAGAGTTTTCTTGAGGAAAAGTGCTGTTTCCGATTTCTCACCAGTCCCAGTGCCTGGGCCAGCGCTGGGCATATACTGGGTGCTCTCTGGTTTCTGAACGAATACATGCCCAACTTACTGCTTATGCTGATATGTATGGTGCAGGGTCCACCCCTGTTTTTGACTCTACTGAGATTGCTTCCTTTTCTACTTGTCCTGCTGTCCTGAATGGTTACCCCAATTTTAGTGCTTTAGGGCTGACTTTCTTTAAAGTTTTGGAATCAGCTAAACCACAATGGCAGAACTGGGTTACAGCGCTGGTGTTGGGTGTTGCTCATATATGTGACGGGGATGGGGAGGGGGTGGGAGGTAGCAGGTGTGGAGGGACAAGGGTGTAGACTGGATCCTATTTCCTCCACAGACTTTTTTCGTAATTGAACGTATGAATTTACATGCAGTAAATGGAACCCAGGTGCTATGGTTGAATCTTAAAGGCCAGTGTGATGGTATTAGGAGGTGAGGCCTCTGGGGGGAGGTTAGGTTGTGAAGATAAAGCCTCATGAATGTGATTAATGCCTCATAACGGAGGACCTCAGAGAGCTCCCAACCCCTTCTGCCCTGTGAGGATACAAGAAGTTGGAGACCCAGAAAAGGGCCCTCGCTCAGTCATGCCACCACCTTGACCTTGGACTTCCAGCTCCCAGAACTGTGAGAAATAAATTTCTGTTGTTTACAAGACGCCCGGGCTGTCGCATTTTGTTACAGCAGCCTGAACAGACGGCAGGGTACAATGAGTTGGTTTTTAACAGTTTTCTGTTCTTTTAATAACAATACTTCAACATGACAAATTTCAAATATTTTCCCCCTTCTTTCCAGGTATTTACACTTTCAGTAACCTGCATATGGATCCCACTGCTATTTAATTAAGACTTAAACCTATAAAGATGCACATTTAATACTCAGAGTAAACCCTTGACTTGTTTCCTTTGAAGATAAGCAGGTGAGATACCTTCTTGAACTCAGATTTCTGAGATAATTAAGATTAGTTGCCATAGAGAGAGAGACAGAAACGCATTAAAATGTATCATACTTTTCGTGTTTAGGAAACTCACTTAGTTAAATATTCAGGGCCATTAAATCTACCCAGACCCAGATACCTATTAATCTGCTGGCCACACAGCCTCCAGAGTGATCTGTCTTTGTCAGGAAAGCCTTCTAATTGCTCTGTTCCTCTGCGCGGAAACTTCTAATGGCTCACCATTGTCCTGTGTACAGATGATGTTCCCGACCCTCAGGGCCTGACCCAGCCTCCTTTCCCCAGCTCATTTGCTACTCCCTAGCCTCATAGGTGCCTGCTGGCCCCCGCTGGCCCCTGCAGTGTGCCAGTTCTCTCTATATTATATACACTTTGGGTCCTCTGTCTTGTCCTCTTGTGACTTTACGAGGTCCCGCTCACTCTGTAGGTACCCACTTCAAATTCCACATCCAGGTTAAATGCTGGGCCTCTAGATTCCTCCAGACAGAACTACCCTAGGCTTTCTTGGACTTTGTACCTGTATGACAATTCTCATTATAATGTACCATAATTATGCATTCCCCACCCACCCCCCTCCCAGACTGAGAGCACCTTGGGGCCCAGAGACAAATTCATTATATGAATATGTAGAATGCCTTATATGAATGTGGAGATTCATATACTATCTAGCTTATAGTAGGTCCTGCATTACTCTTGTTGGAGGAAATTAAGTTGATGGCATTACATGGTCAGTTAATAGTGTGTGTTAGGATGTTATAGAGATTTTTTCAAGGAATGAATTATGTGACCCAGCTTTTTCTGTGGTGCCCCGTATGAAAGCTCCAGAGAGTGTGTGTGTGTGTGTGCATGCGTGTGTGCGTTCGTGTTTTAATGTTTATTTTTGAGAGAGAGAGAGAGAAAGAGAGAGAGAGAGTAGGGGAGGGGCAGAGAGAAGGGAACAGTTTGGCCCCTTGCTGACAACACAGAGCCTGATGCACGCTCAAACTCAAGAACCATGAGATCAGGACCTGAGTTGAAGTTGGACGCTTAACCGACTGAGCCACGCAGGTGCCCCCGTTCTCTCTCCACTGATGTTTACATTGTTACCAGTTTTCTGTGGGTAAACAGTGCCATAGTGAGCGAACTTGGCAGTGGTCCTTGATAAGGCCATCATAGGGACCTGTTTAGAGAATTGTGCCCTTGAAGCACATGGCTTGTGGAGAGCACCATTTTCACACATTTAAATGACTATTAGGGAGTCAGAGTTTAAGAGAAGGAAAGCCCTTTTGAAACCGCTAGTCCCAGTCACTGCTTCTGTGGGCAGGAAAGCAAACTTGTCCAAGGTCACGTGGCCCTTTGGACACAGCTGATGTTAGGACACAATCTCTTGACTCTCAGTCCATGCTTGGCAGAACTGCCTGTGGTGTGCCCAGGCACTTCCAGTGGTCAACTCCCCCAAATTGGCTGAGCTGCACGATGTGAACATAGCTCTTGATTGGAGGACGTGAGGTGTAAATGAATGAGCAAAGATTTGGGGCCAAGCTGACCTGAAGTGAATCCTGTCTCCAGCTCTTACAGTACTTGACTCTGAACCTTGATATCCCCACATGACAAAAAACACTTGTCACAGGTGGCGTGGTGGTGTAAACCCCCTGCCCCACCCTGCCCAGTGCAGATGCTACGTGGGAACTCCCTTCCTCCCACCTGCTTCTCCTTCTTCCTTCCAATGTAGTTGTTAGGAGAAGCAAATCGGCAAAAAAATTTTTTTAAAGCTCACTTATTTATTTTGTGTGTGAGAGAGAGAATGCAAGTTGGGGAGACACAGAGGGAGAGAAAGAGTCCCAAGCAGGCTCCATGCGGTCAGTGCGGAGCCCGATGAGGGGATGAACTCATGAACTGTGAGATCACGACCTGAGCCAGAATCAAGAGTTGGGGGCTTAACTAACTGAGCCACCCGGGAGCATCCCCCACCCCAGAAAGTTTTTCATAAACCTTCAAGGAAGCAAAGGCTTCAGAGAGCAAACCAAAAACAGTGTTCTGTGTGGATACATGTAATTTCAAGCTTTATTTTGTTCTGAAAATAATGTCCTAACTCAGATGTTTCTAAGCAAACTACGAATATATTAGAGACATCACTCTCAGAAGATGTGTGGTGATAAGACTGAGAACGATTAGGGAAAACAGAAATCCTTTGATAATCCTCATTTTAAAATAAAACTCTGTTTTTTCTGAGTATAAAACCTTTTTTCCCCCAATTATGATATGTTTTGCAAAAACATGGAAAGTACAGAAAAGTATGAAGAAGAAAGTAAAAGTAATGCATAATTCCATAGGCACTATTAGCCTTTTGATGAGCTTCCAGGCTTTTTTCCTGTGCAGATTGTGATATGTGCCACTCGAATGTCCCTTTGCTAGAGAGCTGGTGAGCTGCTTCGGAAGTGGCCTCAGCTTTTGAAGCAAAGTCCTAGTTTCTAGAGCTGGCCCCAGACGGTGACTGAGCAAGGCTGCTTCATAGGAGCCTATCTAGTTTTCAGACAGTTTCTCCTCAGATGGCTGTTGGCTTTTTATTTGGCTTTGGGACATATAAAAGTTTTACATTTTTAAAAAAATATTTATTATTATTATTATTATTACTATTCTTTTTTTTTAGAGAGCGAGAGTGAGTGAGGGAGGGGCAAAGGGAGAGGAAGACAGAATCTCAAGCAGGATCCACACCCAGTGCAAAGCCTGATGCAGGGCTCAATCCCAGGACCCCAGGATCACGACTTGAGCCGAAATCGAGAGTGGGATGCTCAACCGACTGAACCACCCAGGTGCCCCAAAAGTTTTACATTTTTATGTAGACTAATCTAATGTTTCATTTTTTTAAATTTCTTCCAGTGTTTTTATGCCTAAAAAATCTTTCTTCATCCAGAGATCAGGCAAAATCTTCATTTTTTTCCCCTTTTGTTCATAGTTTTATTTGTTAAGTCTTTAATCTGTCCAATATTTATTTTGTTTTATGGTGTCAGGTGAAGAATCTAGAAGGAGCTCATTTAAAATAGTTTTCTGGGCCCCACTTATTGACCAAAGGCAAGTTACTTAATCTGTTTTAACATCCATTTCTTTATTCACAGAGGGTAAAGGAAATCCTACTTCGCAGGGTTAGGTTGAAGAAGAAAACAGGTCATGGATATGAAAGCATTTTATAAATGCCATAGGAGTGTTGGTTTTTGCAGTTGTTTTTAAGTGAGAAAATCATGTGTGAATGCTTGTTTGGTCTGGTCTTGTTCCAGTCCACTTATGAAAACAACACTGACAGGGCTGGCTCCGAAGATCCCAACAAACCCAAGACTACTGGACCCATAGAGAGGTTGTAGGGTGCCACAGAGGAGTTCAAACGTAGGCTGTTTATAATACGTATGATTCAAGGGCCCATATGTTTATGGGTACGGAGCAAAGGAGAATTCATTCTATATTGGGGTGGGGGTGCTGATTCATCAGGGAAAGTGGCCAAAGCCTTTCATGAGTAGTGTCTGATGAGGGGAAACAGTTATTTGTCTCTGGAGTCCTGAAGGACCACAGAACGGTTGGGATTTCAGGAATTATTTGAATGATAGGAGACACATGGCCTGGCATGTTGAGAGGGAGGGTTTTCCAGCCATGCTGTGCTGTTTTGGAGCTGGCCTGGGGGCTGGTCGAAGTCAGACTCAGAAGGGTGAGTTGGACTGTGTTATCTTGGTGTGGCCACGATTTTCTCTCCTCATTTAGACAAGAAGAGAGATCTCTTATTTCTCATCGGAGGGAGATACAAAAGAAGGTTGCTGGCAGATAGAGAGCCAATTCTTAATTACTGAGAGGAGAGGCTAGCTGAAGACCTAACATCCTAAGGAAGGCTCTCCAGATGTAAGCATTTCACCTCCAAATTATTTATTGACTTGCTTTCTTCTTTCCTCTCTTTTCAAACCTACCAGCATGTTTCAAATGTGTTTAATTACAAGAGGTCTGGAGTCTGATGGAGCCCCTAAAAGGATACTGTCCCTAAAAACTGGTAGCAGAGAGAGAAGTGTGGAAGAAGGAAAATAAGACGAAAATACGTTCTTCGAAGTTAGGAGTTCTGTCTCCTTCATTTTTGAGTGATTTAGGGAGTTTCGTACAGAGAGCAGGAAGCAGTGGGTGTACAAGATGTACTGGTTGGTTGAATTAGGGAGAGAACAGACCAGGGAAACACCCTTTGGTTAGTCAAGAGTTAACACGGTTCTCTTGAAGAGAGTAATTGGCGGTGGCTGAGTTATAGTAACACTGCACATTCCCTGCTAAGTGCACATTTCCTGTTCAGGACGTGGATTTGATGGGGCCTTTTAAAAGTAGGTGACTTAGGCAGTTCTTTTTATTGGGGGGAAAATCAAGATAATATGGTCTGGCTTTGGAACCTAATTTCCCATTATTCCTCATCAAGGGCCTTCATCCAAGCCACGCACGTTTACTCGTGATTCTCCAAATCTAAACAGACTGCACAGATCCTGCCTCTGAACCTTTGTTTATATTGTTCCTTCCAAAGGCTGCACCCTGTCCTCTCCCCTCTCCTGAGATCCTACTCTCCTTCAAGACCTGAGTCTAGCTTCTTTTTTTTTTTTTAATATTTGTTTGTTCATTTTGGGGGGGGGGGGTGCGTGGGGAGGGGCTGAGAGAGAGAGAATCCCAAGCAGGTTCCTCACTGTCAGCACAGATCCCCGCGCGGTGCTTGAACTCACAAACCGTGAGATCATGACCTGAGCTGAAATTAAGACCGGGTTGTTTAACTGACTGAGCCACCCAGGCGCCCCTAGCATCGTTTGCAAAGCTGCCTCAAAAGCCCTTCCAACTTTCCTCCTTTTCCTGCACTCTCTCCCTCTCTGATTTTCTCCTCTCACTGTTAATGTGTATGTAATTTATTTGCACTCATATTCTCTGATGCAAAGTTAGTGTTTTATATGCATACATTTGAATCTTCAATTAGATAATATATTTCTTATTGTCTGAGACCTAGTTTTCTATTTCCTTATTATCTACCCCCCTCCCCCCCCATAGTGCTTAGTATAAATCTGCCCGCAGACCAGGTAGCAAAAAGTTATTTGATAGTTTGATGATTTCAGAAGATTCCATGATGCTCACCCCCAGGTAAATTATCTTTGTGATGCTAACAAGGCAGGAACAAAGACAAAGTTTGATTTAGGCCAGCACGTGGAGCATACTGTCAAGGGAAACGAAATAGTTGCCATGAGGGTACATCAGCTACTGGTCAGTCTTTCTCTTTCTGAATTCTACTGGAAAGTCTGGCTTCCTGGATGAAAAGCAACTGAGGCATGACCCTGTCCTCTGTGCACAGGCCAAGCATGGGAGACAATAAGGATACCGATGACTAAAAGACAGCATGGTAAATTGGATAGAGGGATATAGAGAGGGTTATGGGAGTCCAGAGAGAGGGCATCCAAATGAAGCTGGGTTAAGCCATCAGGGAAGACTTCCTGGAGGATGCAGTGCTTGACCTAAGTTTGGATACAAAAGAAAGGAAAAGATTTCGAACACCATCACAGTCCAGGTCAGGAAAGGGTGTGCGGGGAAATTTAGAAAGGGAACTTTTCTAAGATCAAGTTATTTTACAAAGAAGCAGCACTGGGAAATCAAGGGAATTTAATTACAACTGCCTCACGAGCAGGATTTGAAAAGGAGTGGGAAGCTCATGGAAACCTTAATTGCTGAGAAAAGTTAAGAGGAGAAATATGACAGAAGTAATAGGTCTGTATGTATGTCATGTCTGATTTGTCATTTTTCTAGACAGGCACTCTGCCTCCTGCCTTCTAGGTTAGAGGAAAAAAAGATCCTTCGGCTGCTAAGGTGAAGATAGCATTTAGGATGCAGAAATGGGACTTGGAAGTACTCCTGATTCCTTTTAGGGAAGAAAAGGTCCATCTCGGCTTACCTCATTGCTAAGAAGAATAATAAGCATTTGTTCAGCGATAATAATGCGTGAGGTGCCTGAAAGAGCCCTGAATCAGGCTAAATAATTTCTTCCTTCCTTTAGAAAATAAAAAACAGCTTGCCCGATTTCTCTTCCAATTTGTTCTTGTGGCTTTCCATTCCTTTGGAAATCCGGAGGATGCCTATTTTATGAGCTTTTGTGGACCAGCCCTTCGATACTCAGGGAGGGTGTCCTTGTGTGCATTAAGCTGGGTCTTTAAGATTAATGCAATATGCAGGAACATGTGATCAATGATATGGCATTAGCAACTTTTACTTTGGCAAGTGGCTGCATGTTGAAGGCATCTGGAAAAATTGTAAATCACAGCATGACCAGAGCATCAGCCACAGACATCAAGACAGGGGAATGGCCAAGTGAGAAGGATGGACCTAGAGCCTCCTGGGTTGTCCACACAGGTATTGCTAGAGACAGAGAAGGATGTAAGGATGTCCCAGCATAGAGGGGCTAGAGGACACAAATCTGTTGGTACCCATAAAGGGAATCAATATGGAGAAGAGTCTCCATACACAGGTAGAAGGGTAGATTAGACAATCTCCAAGGTTCTGTCCAACTCAAATTTTGATTCCATGACTCTCTAAATAAGGACTTAATGAGTTTTTTCAATAGGCTCTAATATCTCATAGACCAATGGAGTCCTTGGCTACACACACACACACACACACACACACACACACATAAATTATATACAATGTAACTATATAATATACTAAAATATATTAAAAATATAAATATATTATGTTTGATTCATATATAAAATGTATATATATTATATAATTATTAAAGCTCAGAAAGATATATATTTATATATAATATATAAATATATATAATATCACTATATAACATACAAATATACATATAAAGTATATAAATATATAATTAAATAGTATATAATTATATAAACATAATTATATAATATATATAATTTTCATGAGCTTTAATACTTTATATTTGTGTAGTACTTAACAGTTTGTGGGGATTTAATCTCACAGACTCTATTGGTTATCTGTTGCCACAATGATGCCACATAACAAAGAGCTCTGCAATGTCAGTGCCATACGACAACAAGTGTTTATTGCTCACATGTCTGTAGCTTTGCGGTCTTGTCTAGGCTTGCTCACATAGCTGGACATTGGCTGGCTGTCGGTTGATCTAGGATGGCCTCAAGCTGAGGTGACTTGGGTGTCTCCTAGCTTTCAACAAGCTAACCCAGACATGTCCTCCTGTGGCAGAGAGGGTGATAGAAGAGGCAAAAGAGAGCAAGCGGAAACTTGCAAGGCCTCATTTACTCCTATACTGGCCAGAGGAAGTCACAGGGCTGAACTCGGTGTCAAGGTGTGGGGGACTGTGCTCCATTCTTTTTGTTAGAGCAGCTGCAGAATCACCTAGGAAAGGCTGTAGATATAGGTGAAGTAGCAATCTACCACACAGATGTGGCCTTGCTTAATCCTGTCGGTGTCATCCTTTACCCTGGTATTATTCCTGCTTTTACAGATTAAAACATGGACACCAAAGAGGTCAGCAACTTATACGAGGCCACATGGATCATAGGAGCTGGAATATTGGCTTTCCTGCTATAAAATCAAGGCACTTTCTGTTGTTCTACACCATGCTTAATTAAAAGCATGAATCCCAGGAGTGTTGTCAGGGACTTCCTAGAGGTAGACTGGTAAAGTGTGAGGCCCTCAATGTT